GAAGCCACACTGGCTTTTTCTTTTGCCCTTCGAATAAGAGAGCTCGGTGGCTGTCTTATTTGAAGGGTTTTATCTCCTCCTCCCTTATATAAGGCCCCGGCTTCAGTGTGAACTGCTGCACCCTAGACAAAGGTTTACACAGCTTTCCTCTTTGAATGAGGAGAAGTAGGCCAGCCATGTTTCCATTTGCTGCCAGACTCTTGCGCTGTGCCAGTTAAGTACAGCAGGGAGTGGAAGGCTGGTTGTTGTTTTCTCCCCTTCACAAGCTCTCAGCCTGTAAATGTTTCCTGACCTGTCTTTTTATCTTGCCCTGGAGATCCATAGCTGCTAAATGTATTGCCTTCCTCTCCTTTGTTTGTTGCCATGCAATGCAAAAATCGCTGCTTTATTTGGTGAGTTGTCCATGTCAGTCATTCCCTGTGATCTTACTTTCCCCGGGGATCCACAGTGTCACTGAACTGCTATCCAGCATCCCAACAAATCCCCATTAGCCTGGGCTGACTCATGGATTCTTTCAAGCGCAGTGTGTTATTTCTCTCTCCCCCCCCGCACACTCTCTTTTTCTTTACATGTGCACTCCTCTGTCCTAAGACTTGTCAGCTAGCTTTGTTTTCCCTCAGTGTAAACAGGAAACAAAAATAAAACCAACCAGCAGCCAGTCCTCAATTTTTCACCCTTCGCTGGGCTTACCCTAGCATGACAGTTTGCTTAGAGCAAGATGTGCTGCTTATGTACCACGTCATAGCGCTTAAAACATTCTCTGGGTGGTTTACAATTTAATTATGCAGGCTGTACATTCCCGGCCCCTCAATGAGCTGAGTACTCAGTCTACTGACCTTGGAAGGATGGAAGGTTGAGTCAGCCTTGAGCCAGATGCATGAGCCTCTCAGGATCAAGCTCAGATCGTGAGCAGAGTCTTGGCTGCAGTACTGCAGTTCAACTATTGTGCCATCAAGCTCCAATACCAAGATCCAAAGGTGGGTGGGAGGCACATTGCCAATTACCATCTTCCATCACAAACTCCAACTCTCCCCCCCCAAAAAAAACCAGAATGTAGCTGGGTGTCTTAACTGAATTTGTTTGGGGGGATTTGAAATTTTGGGAAGGAGTTCAGAGGTTGCATCAAAATCACTACCTTGTAGGCAGAACATGAACTCCCACTTTATAGATGCAAGTTTTCAGGGATGACCTGAAAGGCTACAAAAAGCCCTATGACCAAACTTTGTCCATCCTGGAGTTAGAGGATCAGAATAGGAGAGAGTTAGGTTCAAATCTGCACTCTATCATGATCCAGTCACTTCATCCCAATCTCTCACCTATCTTGGAAAGCTGATATAAAGGTAAAGTAGAATTTGGGAGAAAGACGTATGTATGTTTGTAAGCCTTTGGTCATTCATTTCTTAGAGAACAATCAGATGGAGAAATAATTTTCATTTTAGATCACTTGTGGCACAGTCTAGTGTGAGCTGTTTTCTGGTGAACACATTGTTGCAAAGTTTTTAATTTCTGGTAAATTTACCTTTGCTACACAGCAGAAGTACAGAGATTCACAGAGGGAATAGCTGCAAGTCCCCTAGATCAGGGGTCCCCAACCCCCGGTCCGCGGCCTGGTGCCAGTCCGTGGTCTGGACCAGAGTGGGCCACGGAGACAAATCTCTCACTTTGGGAGAAAGACGTATGTATGTTTGTAAGTCTTTGTTCATTCATTTCCTAGTTAGAGAACAATCAGATGGAGAAATAATTTTCATTTTAGATCACTTGTGGCACAGTCTAGTGTGAGCTGTTTTCTGGTGAACACATTGTTGCAAAGTTTTGAATTTCTGGTAAATTTACCTTTGCTACACAGTAGAAGTACAGAGATTCACAGAGGGAATAGCTGCAAGTCCCCTGATCAGGGGTTCCCAACCCCCGGTCCATGGCCTGGTGCCGGTCCGTGGTCTGGACCAGACTGGGCCACAGAGACAAATTTCTCACCCCCCTGCATGCACTCCATTCCACACAGCCCTTTCATGCATGCACGCATGTGTGTGTGCCCCCTGTGAGTGCCCTTTGTGCATGCATGCAAATGCGTGTGTGCCCCCACGAGCATCCCCTGTCCCTTCATGCATACGCACGAGTGCGGGGGTGCCCTGCCTTCCCCGCACATGGACCTAATCCTCCCCCAACTGCTCCGCAGTGTCAAAAAGGTTGGGGATCACTGCCCTAGATAATCCTCCCCTTTCTCATTAACTGGCACCTAAAGTCTCAATAATTTGCTTTAAGACATACTGTAAAGTGTAGAAGAGTAAACATGTTACTTACAGTTCTGAACAGATCACCAAAACAACAACAACAACTTGCTTCCAACAGACTAAACCGGGGGGGGGGAGAAAAACATTCAACAGTGAGGTGGGTCTGTCTTTGAATTCAGTCACCAAAACAACAACAACAACAACAACAATTTGCTTCCAACAGACTAAACCGGGAGGGGGGGAGAAAAAAACATTCAACAGAGAGGTGGGTCTCTCTTTGAATTCCAAAGTGGGAGAGTTAGTTCTGGACAGATTGACAGTCCAGAACAGCCCCTCCCACTTGCTCAAACCACAGGCAGCATGTAAGGTTGTGAACAAAACTCCAACAGCCCCAGCTGGTCCAGTGGTGGGGGCTGTTCTGTTTTGGATCAGGGCTGGAGTAATTTCTGTAGGGACAGAAGGGTCACTTAAAGGGAGACCTGCTCCTAGGAAGCCAACCCTTTTGAGTGCTGTCAGACATACTCCTTTCTCACTGTCTGACCATACTCCTAGTTAGCTCTCAAGATGCCATGGTGGCTTCTCTTCTGCTGTAGTTTTATCCTCACAACAACCCTGTGAGGTAGATTAAAGAGAGAATGGTCCGAGGACTACCTTGTGAGTGTTCTGAGTCAATGTGAACTAAGACTGGATCGTTCACGTGACAGTTCTTGTAGTTTTATCCTCACAACAACCCTGTGAGGTAGATTAGAGAGAGAATGGTCTGAGGACTACCTTGTGAGTGTTCTGGGTCAACGTGAACGAAGACTGGATCGTTCACGTGATAGTTCAGCACTCTAACCATGATCTTACTCTGGCTCTCATTACGCCATCTTGAGCAGCTCAGAAGAAAGGCAGGACATAAATGTCAAAACCAGATGGTCCTCACAACAACCCTGTGAGGTAGATTAGAGAGAGAATGGTCTGAGGACTACCTTGTGAGTGTTCTGGGTCAACGTGAACGAAGACTGGATCGTTCACGTGATAGTTCAGCACTCTAACCATGATCTTACTCTGGCTCTCATTACGCCATCTTGAGCAGCTCAGAAGAAAGGCAGGACATAAATGTCAAAACCAGATGGATAAATAGACCATAAAATATTATTTCTGCATATCTGAATGACAAGGAAAGGCAAGAGAGATTCACAATTTCCCTTGTCTCCTGAATGTGAAAATGAGCTTACTGTGTTTTGTGGTTGGCTTTCAAGAGTCTAGCATGGAGTTCCTTTTGAGTTCTTCACACATGAAATACTACTCAGTCATGTCTTTCCAATACTAATGTGATTTCTTTTCTAATACAGGCAATCTCTAATGTCTGTTTCTAGGCTTTTCCTTCTTTCCTTTTGGTTGTTGTAAAGGAACCTATTTATGTAGCCGAGTATGCTCAGGTCAAGAATGAGGAAATAACTGTGTTTCCCATCAGCCAATATTTAATACTATTAGCAGCAGCATAATAGAGAGAGAGAGAGAGAGAGAGAGAGAGAACAAAAACATGGAAGGGAAATCCGGAACTACCTTTATGACAGACTCAATTCAGCTCAATAGCTCTCTCGTAAAGGAACCTATTTATGTAGCCGAGTATGCTCAGGTCAAGAATGAGGAAATAACTGTGTTTCCCATCAGCCAATATTTAATACTATTAGCAGCAGCATAATAGAGAGAGAGAGAGAGAGAGAGAGAGAGAACAAAAACATGGAAGGGAAATCCGGAACTACCTTTATGACAGACTCAGTTCAGCTCAATCTCTCTCTCTCGTTGTTGTTTTGTTGTTGTTGTTGTCTGTGCTAAAATAGCTTAATTAAAACCTAACATCTCCCATCCTGATATTTTTAACTGTGATGTTCAGTTTGTATTAGCTGCTAAGATCTTCAGCCCATAGTCCTGACCTCCTTTTGCACATTGTGGACAGCTGTGCTTCTCCAAAGCAATTTTATCCAGAAGTGCTACTGAAAATATTTCCAGCTTGTGGGGGTGGGGAGAGAGTCTCCATGTTAATGCTACATTACAGTACTCTTCATAAAGACACCAGATTTTAATCTCACATCTTTCCTTTGGATTTTGGATTATATAATTACATATATTTGAGTTGTAAGTAAAGCGCTCCCTAAACACTTATGATCTGTAAATGTTAAGTCTTTCTGGTTTACTGTTATATCCCGTGCAGGTACTCATCATGATAGCTCCTGTAGGTAGCCTGCACACTGCAGTCCAACAATGCAGGCAGGTGTGTTGATCTATATTGGTAAATGAGGAGCAGGTCTTTTGTAAAGTGAATGGCTCTTAATTGCCCATTAAGATAAAACAATCTCCAAATTCATTGCATTATAACAGGAGTAGCTTGCAACACTATACTGTTCCTGAGCAATGCCATTTCTCTCCCAGCTAGTGTAAGGATTGTGGTTATGCTCTGAGGAAACAAGCACTTTGACCCTGTGAGGCTTGGCTTCAATACAACACTGACTATCACATCTTCCTTATGAAGCAGATAATTCCTGCACCTTGGACCAATGTTTTGGAGACCCAAGTACCCCCTTGATTATAGAAATCAGACATTGCTGCTCAAAACATTGTTGTGGTAACCAATCATTCCTTTCAGACAAACTTCTGTTTAATTCTACTCTATGCCTTTCATTTACCAATTAAAAGGAAGTAACTGAAAGACAAATACTGTAAGCTGTTTAAGAAAGAAGCAAACATTCTTCCCCTCCCATAAGAGAGAGATTGCCAGGGGAACTTTGGAGAGACTTCCCTTTCTCTTTGAGATCGGAGTGCCTACAAGGAAGTAGAAGTCAATTAATAAATAATTGTAGGGACTGAAAGATTCTGAGACATAGATGGGGAAAGGGAGAGAGCTGTATTTCGGAAGAGCAGGCGTTCTTCATGAATGAACAATAACAGGAAACCTTGAGGGATATCGGCAAAGTAGAGAGACGCCATGGAGAATACAAAGGCACTGGATGCTGTACCACAGGTAAAAGGGAGGGAAACCTGCTCTGCTTGCCCTTCATTATAAATTGCATTTGGTAGGCACAGCTAATAGGTGTCTCCAATCTAGGAATGCATATACAGTAGAGTGGAATTTGGGATTGTGCTATGTAAGATTGTGCGATGTATGCTGGCCCTACCGTTGGGCAAAGTGATGCAGGTGGCTGATGCTAGGAGGCAGCAACATGGTGTTAGAGGTGAGGAGCTCTGCATCACACAGACTGCCTTGTGTTGTCTCAGCTAGGTTATTGCTTCTGTGTGTGATAGAGGATGTTGTCCCATTGCCAATTACAAGAAAGGCTCTTTTATCTTAGAATAATAATCAAGGACTGCAGAGCTGGAAGGGGCCCTATGGATCATTGAGTCCGGCCCTGTCAAGGAGGCACAGTGGAGAATCCAACTTCCAACCTCTGGCTCTGCAGCCGGATGCCTAAACCACTGAGCTATCCAGCTGTTGTTCATGAAAAAGGAGAGGGTCACTTAGGACTGTAATTGCAAAGTGTTGAGGGGGTTATGCTTGCCCTCAACATTCCATTTCCATGCCTCTACTCCAACTTTTTAAAGAGAACTTCAATATTTTAAACAGGAAAGCAGTTTAAGTCACATTCTTGTGTTAACCAACAATTATCACGTTGCCTATGATCTGTATCCTCACCTGGATATGACTGTCATCATCACCATGGAATAAATACAGTGTAGGGAACAGCCAGGATTTCCTTGCCTGAAATCCTGTTCATGCAGCTACACAGATAAGGTTGATGATGTCATCAGCCATAGTGATTTTTTTTTTTTTGCAGAAAGTAAACATCTCTGATTTACTCTAAAGGTCCTGAGGCTCCCATGGGGTCCCTTTCATCTCATGGAAACACTTGGAGGCCAAAGGACCTTTGGAGTGGGAGGGGAGTAAAATCATCTTGATGCCAGTGATTTTCAGGAACTAAAGACATCCCCTCTGGCTTGATCCTGTGGCCCACAATAGCTTCTTCTCCAGGACAAAAGGGATTGCATGGGAGCCTTGCAACCTGTTCAGGAGGCAAGACAGGGGGTCAAGAATGTGGGTTTTAAAAAAATAATAATAGCTGCATCTGATGACATAATCAGCCTTGTGCAGATGCATGTTCAGCCCCTGTGTCTGAAGAAGTGGATTTTGATCCACAAGAGATCACACTGAAATAATCAGTTAGTCTTTGAAATGCTATAACTTTCCCCCCTTCTTCCCCCTGCCCTTTGCTTTTACCATTTTGTTAATCTTGTCTGTGAAACATGTGCTAAGTATGCAGAATTAATGCAGATTTCTATTGTTTGATTAATTGCTGCAGTGTGCTGACCAGTTCATTGAGCACTAGTTAAAAACAGAGGCTTTAAAGCTGATTTTAATTGGAAATGCCTCCCAAAGAAATACTGTTTCATGTTGGAGGGTCATGAAAAATTACTAATGCACTTTGTGAGTTTGGTCATTCATTTTAGATGTTTTCTTTTCCAAAGAATTAATAAGTTTGGGGGTTTTCCCTCTCGTGGTATGTGTAATGTAAGGTTGCAGAGATTCAGTAATTGGATAACAAAGCACTGCTGCTCGCTTTAATGTGCACTGATTTGAATTAACACAACTTACTTGTGTAGGAATACTGACACTATCCACATGAAGTCTAGCAGACCTTCCCCAAATAAAACAAGTGTTACAATGCACCCCTATGTACAAGCTGCTTAAATTCTGTGGATAACAATGGGTTTTAACCAGCCTAGCAATTGTCGAGATGGTTGTTGTTGTTCAGTTGTTTAGTCATGTGTCCGACTCTTCATGATCCCATGGACCAGAGCATGTCAGGCCCTCCTGTCTTCCACCGCCTCCCGGAGGTGTTAATTATTATTATTTTTATAACCCGGTATGGTAATTATGGGTTAATTAATTTTAGGCTCCCAGTTGCCACAACATTTAAATCTGTTTTTGTTTTGTTTGTATAAATTTAATAAAATAAATAAATAAATAAAATAAAAAGGAACTGACACCTTCAGAACAAATTAAGAAGACAAACTGGTTATTTTCAGCATGAGAGGATAATCTCATGCCAATGCCCTATTGATCGGTGGAGACATCCCTCTTCTTCTAGCCAGTGAAATAGTTTAGGTGGTGGGGCTTCGTTTCTTCATTATGTCCCTTTCTGCCCATACTGGATCAGTTGGGGAGTTTCCTGGGGAACGTCTCAGTCTGTCTACTTTAAACATAGTCTGGTGGCATTGAGATAATAACTGTGATTTTGTTGACAAACTGGTTAGATTTCCTTACCTCCATCCTACTTCTGTACTTCACTCATGTCAGATTGTTTGGATTTTTTCATGTTGCGTTACCTCACTTCCTTGAGGTCACTTTAGATGGAATTTGAGAGCTATTGCATATTTGTCAATTTGTTCCACTGCTCCATATGTCACTACAAGGGCCTGGGGAAAGGGTGGGATGAGAAAAGAGGGAAGCCTTCACCATTAGGGCTGGCCAGAATTTCTGGGATTTGGAGTCCAAGAACATCTAGGGGCAGAAGGTGGGGAACCACTGGTATAGTGGAACCAGGCTTATGGGGTCTAGTTCTTTCTGAATGGCAGGGCTTATGACATCCCTCCAAACTCTCCTGTACCCTTGGGCCTTCCTTGCAATCCTCACAGTAGCTGGTGGAATCACATTGTTGCTAGCTATCTTTTTTGCAATGCAAAATATCTGAGGATGGTTTGGCCTCAGATAGGCAATTAAGATCCATTAACGTTACAAAAGACATACTCCTTCTGTTCCTGAGATGGACCACCCAGCTGCCTGGATTATTAGATGGGGTGGGTCTGGATCAGTTGGGAAGGACAGATCCTGAAGCTGAGACTCCAATACTTTGGCCATCTCATAAGAAGAGAAGACTTCCTGGAAAAGACCCTGATGTTGGGAAAGTGTGAGGGCAAGAGGAGAGGGGGATGACAGAGGATGAGATGGTTGGACAGTGTCATCGAAGCTACCAACATGAATTTGACCCAACTCCAGGACACAGTGGAAGACAGGAGGCCCTGGCGTGCTGTGGTCCATGGGGTCACGAAGAGTCGGACACGATTTAAAGACTAAACAACAACAACAAGGGAAGATTGGCTATGGGGACCATGGTGGTGAACACTTGTACGTCCGAATTTACTAGTATACTACTGGATACAAGCTTTTAAATCACCTCTTTCATTTGATGTTAGAATGCAGAGAAGATTGATTGAGTGATTGATTGATTGATTGATTGATTGATTGATTGATTGATTGATTGATTGATTGATTGATTGATTGATTGATTGATTGATTGGATTTGTTCCCCGCACCATCTGACAACCAGACCACTCTGGGAGGCTGACAACAAGATAAAGAACACAATATCAAACCACAATAAAATATATATTTTTAGTATAAATTCCTTTGTAGTATGGAAATGGCACACTCTTATATTCCTATTCCTTGGTGTTTATTCGCTTGAGTACAGTTTGATTACTCTCTGTCCTTTTTAGGCCCCTTTTATATTGCATAAGAAGACCCCCTTCGTCCACAATGTTTTGAGGTTGGTGGGGCTATTTTCAAACTTGGAGAAGTTATTTTTCGAATTACTCAAGCCCCTTCGCGACAACAAGGCAGCGATCCATGAAGGGGCACACAGAAACCCCTTCAAACTTGCTGCTTCTCTAATGGCAGTCAGGGAAGAAGCCAGAGGCAATCAACCAAATAGCAGCATTCCAGGTTAGAGATGGGAACGAACCAACTGGTTTGGCACTTTGTCCCATTCTATTTCTCAGATGAACAAATTTCCGGTGCTTCCCAGCCCTTCTTCCCCCAGCAGGCACCCACTCTGAGGAAGCGGCCCGGCTTCCCTGTCCCACGTCTCTCCCAGGTGCTGCCTCTGAGTGGGTGCCCACGGGAGAAGGTGGGGTTCGGAAGTGCCGAACACCAGTTTGGCCACAAAACAAACTGTCATGAACCACTGCAGTGGAGATTCGTGCCCATCTCTGTTCTAGGTATATCGGTAGAAGAGGCTTTCCCCAAATGCCATAGATGGGGGAAAAAAACTTTATCAACCGAGTTAGTAGCAAATAAGAGTCACATTGGGCTGTAAAACCCCATCTCCCTGATAGACAGTACTAGTCCATGCAAGACTGCTTCCCCCCACCCAACAGAATTTCCAACCTAGCACACGGCTAGGGATTTTAACAGCCACAGCCACCCCAGATGGGAATTCCAAGACTTTTTGTTCCCCCAGAGTAACCTTTCCAAGTTGTGGGAATACTGCAGTGGAATCTTCTATTTGCAAAAGGCCATTGCTATACCATTTTAAGTCTCCTTCCCGCCAACACAATGGCTAAAATTCAGTTCGTTCGTTCGTTTAGTCGTTTAGTTGTGTCCGACTCTTCGTGACCCCATGGACCAGAGCACGCCAGGCCCTCCTATCTTCCACTGCTTTCCGGAGCTGGGTCAATTTCATGTTGGTAGCGTTGGTGACATTGTCCAACCATCTCGTCCTCTGTCGTCCCCTTCTCCTCTTGCCTTCACTCTTTCCCTACATTAAGGTCTTTTCCAGGGACTCTTCTCTTCTCATGAGATGGCCAAAGTATTGGAGCCTCAGCTTCAAGATCTGTCCTTCCAGTGAGCACTCAGGGTTGATTTCCTTGCAGTCCAGGGGACTCTCAAGAGCCTCCTCCAGCACCACAATTCAAAGGCATCAATTCTTCGGCGGTCTGCTTTCTTTATGGTCCAGCTCTCTTTATGGTCCAGTAGTGCATCTCAACTAGAGCAGGCCCATTGATTGAGTGATAATTTGATGAGTCTACAGCTTACCAAGGAGTTGACCCATCAAATTCTCACTGATTCAGTGGGGGCTACGCTAGTTATGGCTGACTACTGGATTTAATTCCAGTTTTGGGTGAAAAGAAAATATTTTCTCTCTCCCAGGAGGTGTATCTGAAGACTAGTCTCTCTGTATTTCTAGT